TTCCTCCTGCTCTCCCCAACTTTGCCCCACTCACCCCACCCCCATTCACTCCTCAGAGAGGGTATGTCTTTCAATGGGGAGTCAATGAAGTCTGGTACATCAATTTAAGGCAGGATCAAGGCCCTCCCTGCTATATCTAGGCTGAACATGATGTCCCTCCAAAGAGAAAGGGCTCCAAAAAGTCAGTCCAAGTACTAGGGATACATCCTGGTCTCACTGTTATAGGTTTTTTTTTTTCCCCCGTTTTCTTTTTATAGCATATGTTCTTATCTATTCTCTCCTGCCTCAGACATATCAACAAACATGTTGGCATACATCCCATGAAGCACTTAACTCATTACATTGATGTGATGGTTAGCGTTAATTGTTAATTAGACAGATCTAAAATCACCTGAGAGATAAGTCTATGAGAGATTTTCTTAATTTAACATTCAAGGCAGAAGCCCTACCCACTGTTGGTGTCACCATTCCCTGCCTGAGACCCTGAACTGTATCAAGAAAGAAAGAAAACTAAGACCTACAGCATTCACTGCTCTCTCCTCCCCCGCCCTCACAATGATTGTGATGCTGCAGCTGAGCTCATGCTGGCTTGAGCTTCTCACCATGGTGTTTGTATCTTTTAACTGTAAGCCAACCTTTTCTCCCCTAAGTTGCTTTTGTCAGAGGATTTCATCCTGTCAATAGGAAAAGAAAGAAAGATACTATCCTTTTTTGTTGTTGTTGTTTGAATCATTCATGTGTACACACAGACACTCAGATATACATGCAGGCACACTCATGAATATACACAGCCGGCTTAGCTCTATTGTCTCTCTCCTACCTCTCCCCACCTGCCCACAATGATCAAATATTCCTTCTCTTTATATTGCTCTGATTTGTACTTCTATAGATCTCTTGGCTTAGACCAAATATGTGTCCTCTCCTCCGATGTCATTTCTTTGATTGCTCTGTTTTTGCAAATGGTTTTAGGATCTATTTCTACATTACCTATATATAGATCTCAGATATATACAAATAAATAACTTCTTTAATTGATTGCCCAGATAATATCTAAGGAAGCTTGCTCATATGGGTATCGACTTATCTGTGTATTGAGCACTTTTGGCCTTAGCCATGTTCTTTGGCATTGCCTCTGTGGGCAATACTCTCAGGTAGGACACAGACATCTCAACTACTCTTCACACTTGGTGGAGCTGTGACCTGCACTCTTTTCAGACACAAAATAAGCATTTTCTGGTTCATTGCTCAGCCTTCCAGTGAACTAAATGTTATTTTAAGTGGCTACAACATAAAGGAGGTGGCAGAAAGCACTGGCAAGTGTTTCAAGGGTTGAGCTAACTGTTCCCCTGTCGAATTGATTTCTGCATCTGTGCTGAAGCATCCTTTCTGACTCCTAACCCTGCTTAATCCCAGCCTGCAAAATGAGAAGCAGCTGAGTGCTGCCTGAAGAAGAGTTAGTGGTTAAGCACTCAGAGAGGCTGCCACAAAAGCCCAGGGTTTGTTGTGGTTTCTTAAACAATTTCTCACTAGAAAAACACACACATATATATAATCAATATAGCTGATTCTCCCAGAAAATGAACTAGAAAACACGAATCAATCCTGTTTCATTTATTAAAACACAATAATAAAACAAAAATGGTATCCTTTCTTTTTCAATTCAGCACAGCTATCATTAAATATCAAACAAACAAACAAAAAAACAAAAAAAAACTCAACTGAGAAAGTCTTCATCAGATTACGTACAGCCAAGTCTGTATGACTTTTTCTTGATAAATGATGGATGTAAGAGTGCCTACCCTAGGATATCACTGACAGTGACAACACCCCTAGACAGATGGTCCCAAGTTGTACACAAAAGCAGGCCTAGAGAACCATAGGCAGCAAATCAGTAAGCAGGGTTGCTCCATGGCTTCTGCTTCAGTTCTAGCGTGGAGTCCCTACCCTAACTCATCTCAGTAAGGAAGAATTTTAAAATGAAATAAACCCTTTCCTCCCCAAGTTACTTTTGTTCACAGTGTTTTATTTGAGCACTAGAAATTCCACCTGTGGGTTTGTACAAATGATCTCATAGTTTTACTTTTACAGACTTATGCAAATGTGCTTATTTCTTTCTATCTTTCTACTATAAATATAATTTTCTCCACTATGGCTATCCAAAGGGTAACTTTCAATGAATTATTTATAGGTAACAAGATAATTAAAAATTACTGGACAGATCATACTCGAGAGTGTACATCTTCCTTGTGAGATTACTTAAAGTCTCCTATAATAATCTGGTATGGCTGTAGGAAATATTGTAGAGTGGGTGGCTTAACCAACATAAATTTACTTTTTCACAGTTCTGTAGTCTAAAAGTTAAAAATCAACACTGAACAGGTGTAGGGTTTTTTCTGATACCTCAATGCAAGCCTTGTAAATGTCCGTTTTCTAGTTCTGTCATCCCATGGCCTTTCTTCCCTTGACTATTATTCCCTGGAGTCTCCTCTTCTTATAAGGCCCTCATCTTGGGGGACTAGGGTTGTACCCCATGGTCCAGCCACTTTGTAGAACATGCCTCCTTTTTTTTAAAATCACACCAGGATTTTGTACTTCGGTGTATTTGGTGAGGACATAATTCACTCCATAACAGTGTTATATATAGATATGAATGGTGAGTGACACTCTAATGTTGTGCAGGAAAACACAGGTAAACAGGTCAAGAAAAATCCATAACCAATTTTTATGGTACAGATGTTTCTCTTTCCACAAGTAAATAGAAAATAACTAAAGTGAAAGCAAAGGAATGAAGAAACTGAATATAGCCAAAGGCATTGACAGCAAGGACAGGGAGAACTGTAGTAACAAGAGGGCAATGCCTCAGATGTGTAAGGGGGAAATTTTCTGCTGGTTTCCTAGTATTTATTTTCAAGAGTTACCATATGCCTATTATATTTCTGTGACGCCCAAGACTGACTAGTTAGTGTAGAAAAGTGTTTACCAAAATTGAATTAAACTACAGAAGGAAAATGATTTTCATTAAATTTCAGAAATCTCTATGTTATGAAAAATAATAAATTAGGCTAGATTAAGAAAACAGTAAAGATCAGATAATAAACCGAACTATGATTAGTATGAATTCACTTTAGTTGATGTTATTAATGGGCATTGCTGACATGAATTAAATAAAGATTTATGTGTTTAATCAACCCCATGTTTCATATGAGAAGTTGGCTTCTTCTCTCCATGACAGCACAATAGAAAGAAACCTACCTCTACTTCTAATACTATAGAGGGAGATGAAGTTTATCCATGTTGGTGGTGCATATTGATGGTGTCTTAACATGGTTTGCTCCACACACAGCTGTTTCCAGCCGCCAGGGCTGGAAGGTACAGGAGGCTGTAGGTACAGACAGCTCTATTTAATCTCAGCACAGGAAACAAAATCTGTTTCCTTCACATTCCAACACATACCAATGTATATGCATTATGGGTGTGGGAAACATGCATATTGTGTAAGTAGGGAAGAGAACTTGAAATATATTGTTTGAGATTCCTAGGGGTCAGCTTCAAAGTTGCTCTGGCAGCAGACTTTTCAAATAAACCAAGTGTGTTGATCTTGTACAAGACAGCAAATTCAGATTACTCCAAATTCCATGTTCCAATGTAATAGCATTTCACGAAGATTTCATACCAACAGAACAAAGAACAGCAAAAATTGAGGCTTTTTCCAAATACATCAATGGTAATGTTAAGTGGAAAAATTACAGTGAAGCAGAGACAACTCTGCTATAGGGCTCAAGTTATCTGACGTCATTCTTAGCTTTTGGGATGGCAGTAGCTAAAGGGTCTGCTTCTGTTTATATAGGTTGTGTTAAAGTAACAAAGATGGAGTTAAACCATTTCTATATTTTTAAAACAATATAAATAAATAAATCTAAATTTCTTTTTTAATTGCAAATCTATTCCTCTCTCTCTCTCTCTCTCTGTGTGTGTGTGTGTGTGTGTGTGTGTGTGTGTGTGTG